GGGGGGGGGGGGGGGGGGGTTGTGGGGGGGCGCCGCCCGCGGCCGGGGGCAGGAAGGTGTTGGAGCTGCGGGGGATGGCGCCATGGTTCTTGCCATTGATCGCTTGCATCGATCATTCATCCACTGGAGCTCGGGTGCAGGGAGAGGTAACAAAAATTAAGCCGGGGCAGGTTGTGGGGGCTAGTGCAGGCTTTAAGCTTTTTCTCCCGCCAGGCTCCCGGTTGGGAGCGTTGCGTGTTGACGTTGGGTCGCTGCTGCCTGTGCATAGTTTATTTTCTACACTTTGTCTCTACATCGGGATACCCCCTCCTCTTTGTGGATGTGCCCCCTAAACGGCACCCGCGAGGAGCTTATTTTTTCCAACAAGAAAAAGTCTCCCTTTCGCCACCCGTCATTGTGAAATGGTGATACGAGAAATTTCCCCATGACACCAGCCACCCGAACCCACTCGCTTGCCGTTAACGCTAACAATAGAAACAGATCGCCGTCCGTTAGTCACAACATACCTCCCCCCACCTTCGCCCCCTCCTTCCCCTCTTCGTTGTCAGGATTGCCCCTAGAGGCATCAGCCGCCGCGCCCGTGCCCCATGTATACATCGCTCTAATACCGCCAATTTCGCATGATTGGGGGTTTTGAGCACTAGATTGTCGCATCCTCAAATTCAACTGTCGGGTATACTGTCGGACCCTCGGAAAACGAGTTTCGGATTTTCATGCTTCTGTTGTCGCACTGATGTCTGAAAAATGAGTAACGTTTGTCGTCGTTGCGGTTCGCGGTGTCGGAAATTTTCGAGGTGATTGTCGGGTGCGTTGTCGGAAATCACTCGAACATTGTCGCATTCACATGCGTTTTTTCCAGGATCAGTACCGGGGGCGGTGTCGCTAAATCTACATCGATTGTCGGAGATCGTGTCGCACACACAACTTCCTTGTCGACCCTTCGTTAAATATAACACATCAAAATCAACAACCAACAGCATCATAAGCATCGGCTGAAGGCATTACGAACACCATCACGATTCTGCTGTGTTCTGTTTCGTAATGGATGATTCAGGTGACATCAGACTCAACGATGTCATCATTGGTTTAGGCTATGATGATCGAGCACCTCTTAACCCTGAAGACGCTGCTATTTTACAGCAGATCAACAAACATTTCAATATTGAGTTCCAAAATTTTCTACAATTCAAAATGCGAATCGACAAAAGTGAGAGGAAATGGGACAGCAAAAGTTAAGAAACGACAAAAGTTAGCGATTTTTCTGACAATACAGTAGAGAAACCGACAACGGATAGGGAGTTTCCGACAAACACTGCGACATGTAGCTTCTTAGCGTCACCATATCGACTAACTTGATCGACAATGATAATCTATGTGGCGACAGGATGTCCGACAAAATTACCCTACATGGCGATCCGACACGAACTACGACTACGTACAACCGCGAATCCGACAAGCCAAGCGTCTCCGCTGCCTTGTTTTCCGACTCCCGGTGCGCAATCCGAACTGCCGAGTCCGACATCCGGTCCAAACCGTAGTCGCACAAACCACCTTGGCGGTATGGTCAGTGCCGCACGCACGAGCAGACCAATTGGAGGGTGGGACCAAATGTCGCCAGTAGGCATGAGGTACACGCCCTGCCACCTGGATGGGGGTTGTTGACAGGCTGTTAACCGAGGCCAAGCACGAATATTTTCTCCAGGCAAAATGGTGCGACATCCTGCGGTTTGTGAATGCCGATGCTTCTGCTTGGGGGAGAGGGGGCGTGAGGAGACATCCCCCCGTAGCGTGAGGCCGTGGTGCCCCCACCCTATTGTTCGTGGTTGCTTTTTTTGTATATTTTTGGTCACTTTTGCAGTGCATGAATAGCCTGCAGGTAACAGTGAGACACTGAGCCTATCAAATTCGATGTTTGAGGCTGGCATCCCCGCTTATGTCATTGCCATTGTCGACATCGTTGTTTCCGTACCACGATGACCAACGTATGGACTATGTCTTGTCAATATTGCAATGCTCGTGTCGAAATGATCGTGTTCTTGTTCCCTAATTTGCATAGTTTCCCGCGCAAACTTTGTGGGGGCACCGGCGTTGTCTCACTTGGTGGTGTCGGCGACAGACATAGACGTATTTTTTTGCGTCATCCTCTGCCAAAGCCTCTTTTTTCTCACCGGCGATATTTCCCCTCCCTCGTCGTATCTGAGCGTGCTTGACACCTCGCCGACACCGATCATTTCCCTAAGGCAAAAGTCGCTTGTCGTCACAGGCTTTGACCGTTTCCCTAAAAGTCGTAAGTGGGGGACAGGAGACAAAAGCCGTTGTGGTAACAGCCTTGTGGTCGGTTGAAAATCTGGCTGAGCCGGGTTATCGGTGCATAGAAAAAATCATACATTAATTGAGGGGAAACGCCCGTCGAGGACAGGCTCGTTTCGGAAGAAAAAACTTCGCCGTAGCATCTGCACACTAATAATAATACTCGCAGTTCAAGTAGTAGAGGGCCCACCGCTGAAACGGCGTGAAGTGTCGCCGGTTGCTAATTCGGCTATCGAAGGCCGTGACTAAGTGATACACATGTATAATCTATATTCGTGAAACAACCACCTAGAATAGCATCCAAGCAGAAGCACCCAACAACAAAATCAGCACGAGCGCAGTGATAAAACCCGCCCCGGCTTTATCTTTTGTATGAACTGCAATCGCATTGCGATTTACAGTCTGGTTCGAGGTGATGCCAGCATCAGGAACCAGCTCACTGACCCCACCGGTATTGGCAGTTAATGGATCCGGTACTCGTCCTGCAAGTACTGCTAGCACCACTTCCAACGCACTCTGTTGTTCTCCTAAACCAAACACTCCGTCCCAAGATCCTTTACTCCAATCAGTACCACAAGTAATCCCGTCAGTACCACCATTACATGAGGACACCGCACCGCGAGCCAGTCGCTCAATGTATGGTCGAATATCGTCTTCAAACTCGGGTATGAGCACCATAGTTTGATGTAAAGAGCGCAGCCAGAGAGCCCGGAACGATCGCTGGTCGTCGTTACACCATCCTCGCGGAGCACAGGTAGTTTCTTGCATGGTGCCGTTACCATCTTTAAAATAGCCCAATCCAGCATCTAAAATTTGCTTGGACCGGCTGTGCCAAGTTTGATCGTTAGTTAAGTTGTAAAGATAGGCGGCACCGGCCATGTACACGCCATACGTGTACGACCACCGTAGAAATGTCGTTTCATTCAACAGGCAATTATGGTGTATTTTGGCCCCGTCCCATATGGCCAGCTGATTGAGCTGGAAAAATCCCACGTCCTCCATCCATCGCCACACTTTATCACATGTATCCGTGTAATTTTTGGTGTAATTTGAAGTAGGACCAAGATAGCGAGCAATCCGAGCACCCACATTGAATAGACACCCGCTCAGAATCAGATTCTTGTAGTCATAGCCAGAATTGTAGCTGAAAATCTGCCATCTGAGACCCCCACCACAACTATCGGGGTCCCATCGACCACTCATTGTATTGAATACTGCCTGAGCCATCAGAAGCCAAGAGTGATCGGGAGGGTTAGTGAAGTTCCGCTCCACCGCTTCCATTAACGTGATCCCCCACATCCCCTGGTCATCATTACCTTCGGTCATCAGTTGGTTCAGGGGCATATAATCGTCATTCTCTCCTCTTTGATGATAAACGCCATCGTAGATTAATTGTTTGAGGGTATCGTTCCCCAGATCGCAAAAGGTATAGTAGTCAATCAATCCGGCAAACAGCTGACCCGCCAGCCACCAGTAGTAACCATCAAACATCCCTACCGTACCGCCATAGCGAGTGCCGGTGTAGTAATTCCACTCACCACTTTGAATCACATTCGCAGCTTGACATACCAGATCCTGCGAACTCACATCGATGTCAAGCGCTGCTGCTAGCCCAAGCACTGACGCTATCCATGCTGCCACCAATGTCTGTGCGTGCATCGTTGGGTTGCTGGGATCGCTGCTGAAGTGTAAACCACACTTTCCACCATTACTATTGGAGTTTGGGAGCAAAGAGTTAAACTGGGCTCTCAACGATTGCTCCGTTCATCTCTTCCTTTAGTGGTGCCTTGATCTGTCCGATGATCTCAACGCAACCGACCACAATTTGTATTGTGACTTACCCGGCAGAAGCTAGATTGACAAGTTTGCAGCTTGAGGCTGGTAATGAGACATTGACTGTCAGCAGCGTGGCGGTGCACAGGGGAAAAAAATTCCATGCGTGTGGGGGTGGGGGCTATTTTGAGAAGCTAATAGTTTTAGCGAAACGGGCATTTACGACAAAGTCAGCTAATGAAAAATGGTTGATTGTGAACCGGAGCTTGCAAAATCATGGGAACTTCGTTATTTGTCGCATACTTGCAATATCCTCGTGGGCTTGTGATATAGACCAAGAAAAGTATCACAAAAAGCGCATGAGTTGTCACGAAATCGGATATTAAAGACGGACTCTCAGTGACGCATGCGCACTGTCTGTCGGGTAAGTTAAATCTGTAAGAATTTTTTCATTAATGCATCAGCCATGCAGTACTGCCTTTGGGTGCCAACCCAGGGTGGCACAGTGCATAGTCTAGTTGAATCGCCAATAAAATGCACGTTGGAGGACGATACGGGCCCGAGCTTCCGTGAAAATCTTGGCCGATGCCCCATCATGGTGTCCCCCGATAAAATAAACTTCTCGTCGCTATTTTGCACGAAGTTTGCAATTAAGGAATCGCCAAAATGTATAACTTGTTCTTGTGGTAGTTACATCGCCATGAGGACACTCGCCACAAGTGAGGTAGTATCCGACTATCCCGGCGGGCAACGCCGAGCCTAATTCCAGAAGAAGAGTTCCTGCGGAAGCCTCGCTTTTGGGTAATTTTGCCTGGAGAGAGCACACTACTTATGTCGCCAGATTGGCTCAGGGGTTCGTGTCACCATGTCTCCGGTCCGGGTTGTCTGTCTGACAACCCACAAGACGAGACATATATATAAGAACACGGCTGGTTTCAGACAAATCTAGCGAACGTTCCCCCACGATGCCACAAAAGTATTCAGGCGGTAGACCACTGGACTCAAGGGGTTGAAGCTAACGCCGACTTGTTGTTATGCCGTGAGTAATCGTCACTCAACGCCGATCTCACAAAAAATAAATGAGATTGAAGTGAACTCTTTATGAGTTTAAAAGTCAGTCCGTACAGTTCATCCAGCTATTTGAGTTGTTATATTACCCGATTTCAATCTTTCACGGCTACCTCACTGCTGTTACCATGAAGAAGACCTCATTGGTTCGGCCTTTGCTGAGTGCGAATCATCCTGCATACAATTTGACTGAAAAAAAAAAAAGGCCTTTACCCCAGTTGCTCTTGTACCCAACCCTTAAGTCATGTCCTTGCTCAAGAACTTCGGTGCCTCGTCTAAGCGTTTCTTCTCCTCGACTCCTCGTGTCGAAGGGTCTAAGGTCTTTTTCAAGACCCTGATTGGCGGCCAATTGCAGGACCCCATCAAGTTCGAATTGTACGACGATGTTACCCCGAAGACCGCCGCCAACTTCAAGGCGTTGTGCACCGGTGAAAAGGGCTTCGGCTACCAAGGCCTGATCTTCCACAGAGTTATCCCCAACTTCATGCTCCAAGGTGGTGACTTTGAAACCGGCAGAGGCTACGGTGGTAAGCTGATCTACGGTAAGAAGTTCCCTGACGAAAACTTCAACAAGAGACACACCCGCCCCGGTTTGTTGTCGATGGCCAACTCCGGCCCCAACACCAACGGGTCGCAATTCTTCATCACCACTGTCCCCTGCCCCTGGTTGGACGGCAAGCACGTCGTGTTTGGTGAAGTCATTGATGGCATGGACGTCGTTAAGAAGATCGAATCTGTCGGTTCGCAATCGGGCCAACCTTCGAAGAAGGTGGTCATTGAAGAGTGTGGCGAATGCTAGATTCATCTTCGAAATCGTATATAAACATTGTTAGACGTCGTTCATCATCAAAACCGTATATATATATAAATATCATTAGACGTCATTTATTACCACTATTCGTATATCTATTCGGTGTAGCCGATGCCGGTGGCTAACATGACATTTTTGGGAAGCAGCGCCGCCGGGAATGGCAAAAGCACTTTGAGCTTTTGGTTATCGACTTTGGCCACGTAAATGTAGCCCTTGACACTGGTGTTGAGGACGTCTTTAGGCTTGTAGCTGAGCTGAGGCACGTGGGAAATGGCGACAAGAGTGTTCTCCACTTTTTGCAAGTCGGCAGTCTCCAACTTGCGGTAATATTTGTCCAAGCTGTCGGCGGGCTCCAGGTCGTTGCTGTAGTCGTCGCCCAGCGGCAAAAATGCAAGTGACAGCAGGAGATCGCTGGCCTCAACTCCTTTGTACACATCGAGGGCGGCACCGTCGATGTCGGTCTTTAATGGTTGTAAATGAGCTCTGGAATTACCATTGAAGTACTCTCTGATCAGCTCTTCTTGAGCCTGTCGAACAAACAGGTCATCAACATCGACACTGCCCCCTGAACGAGGAAGTTTGATGGTGGTCAACAGCTTCAAGTCGATCTTGCGCTTGAGCTTATGCTTTAAGTCGACAAACAACCTTTCGTTGCCGATGACCACCAAGTGGTCGACTTCAAAATCACTAATAATGTTTTCAATCGTGGCAAACAGCAGACTAAGGTTGTTCCCACCTAGTTCTGGAGGGGTATCAATTACCACACCAGCACTGGCGGTGCGGGGGTCGTGTTCAAGCCGCAGCATCACCGCCACCCCAAGCTTCAGCGTCTGGTAGTTGTACAACTCCCGGTTGTCGCCCATGGCACTGAAACCAAAGTTTTTCACCAACGGCTGCTTCGGGTTATGCGGAAGCGACCCCAGCGTCGGCGTGAACCCCCAGCCACCAGCGGCCTCGATGTCGAGGGAATCGTTGATCGTGGTAGCAGTAAGCGATCCTGGTACCGAAAACACCCCGTCACGAGGATTAAGATTCACCAATACTGGTGTCAGCCCCATCTTCACCGCGTACAGCACCAATGTCTTTGCCACTGCGGTTTTGCCAGCGCCGTGAGGACCCAACACAAGCACCCTGGGACCCCGAAGACGAGGCAGCGCTCCTCGAGCATTACCGTCGTGGGCTTTTTGTCTTAATGTTTCAAGATAGAGGGCCAAGTTGGTCACCTGATCCAGCGTCGTCTCGTTACTGAGGTACTCGACCACATCGTCGTCGCCAAGCGCCATCCGGTGCAGCTCGGGTGAATTGCTCACGGTATACTCCAACGTCACCGACTCCAAAGGAGCGTAGATAGCATATTTCACCCCGCTGAACTTGTACTCGACCTTAGGCGCGAGCTCAGTGCCAAACACCTCGGCGACGCCTTCGAGCACCGTCACCGTCATCTGTTTGCGGAAGGGGACCTCGATACGCCACTCATTGCCGGCAGGGACAATTATCCGGGTCGCTGCCGACGCTATGGGTGTACTTGTGTCGGTGGCAGGGCCCACATCGTTAATACCGGGGATGGACATAGTGCGCGCTCGTCCTCGAGCCACCGCGGCGCGCTTTACGATGGCGCCGTCAGTGGATGGGACGACAATCAGGAGCGCAGCAATACTAGAGGGCAAACCGCGATCAATTGCTGCTGAGGCGTATATTTTGTGGTATAGCGACCTTTTGAGGAGCTCATGAGATGTGTTTGGAGTGATTTAGAAGGTTTTCACTAAATTGGAGGTGAAAATCTAGGGCGTAACTTTTGTGGGCATCTAGCCACCACTGGGGACGAACCACTAATACATATCCTTAACTAGCCACGACAATCCGCCATGCGTATACGAACGCTGCGGGGCTAAGTACCACGCCGGCAGATAATTATAGCCTCAACTCGCCGTAAGGGTTAAACGCGTAAATGTCGTCGAGCACAGCTATGACCACCTCCCCCTATCAGCACGGTGGTGGCTCCGAATGACGATGCAGGGCCTCATGATCACCGTGTCTATACTAGTTGTTCAGGGGCAGATTCCCCCACGATTTAGCAGACGACAATACTTGACAGAATTGGTCTCAGACACTAGCCGCAAATGCCCCTCATGGTGGGGGCCAGGTGCACAGTAGAGAGCAGATCCGCTCTGCAGTCACGCCTATAATATATACGGACACCCTCGGTGGCGTTTACCGGCAGCCGACATTTTTGTTTGGGTCTTGGCACTACCAGCATCGACGTGTGAGGTCTAGTTCTCCTCCGTTTGATTCACATTGCAGCGCCGATGATCCGCGAGCAACTATTGTAATGCAAATATGATTGAATGATTTCGAGTTGACGGCAAAATCCTGCGAATTTCAGAAATTTGATCATACGAGTAAAGTCGGGGGTGATATGGGGCGATTGGATGTCCCGGGGAACAACGGAGTTGATTGCTTATGGGCGTGGGGGAGTCGGCGATATAATATTTTGGTCACGTCTGCAACCGTGGCGGGGGGTGGGAAACAATAGGCGACGACCTGCATCCATTGTACTCAAAGCTTATCCCATTGAAAAAAGTCGGGTGGCTGGTGAAGGGCGACACTACGCGGGCTATAACGGGTACTGCCAGCGAGCCGCGAATTTGATGAAACGTCTTATTTTACGTAGGACCACCACCTAATTGATCTTCAGGGTGGTAGGCCGGTAGGTTTTGTGTTACATACACTTCGAATTTATGGATAATCGAAGTGCCAATTGCGCTTTGCGCTTTGCCAGCGTTTGTAGTCTAGAACTTCCCCCACATCCACAGAGACCCCCACCCTGTCAACCTGTACTCCTGTCACTGTCGAAGCGATGGAAAGCCGCTAAAAGTCTCAGGGTAGACGCATCGAACTCGCTCTAAGTGGGGGATGAGATCTACAATTTACTCAGGAAAATATACGTAGTGCATACGCAAACTTCTCCAACTCAGTCAAAACAACCAAATCCTAGATCTAATACGTCCATCTCTCCTTCTAACTTTGCCTGATTTGCTTTGATACGCAACCTCGAGCCACCCAAACTTCCATGCCATTGGGGAACCCGGAATAGAATGCCCGCTTTCAATATCTGAGAGGCCAGGCTTATCGATAGCCATTGTATCTTACATCAATAAATTCATTCTTTTCCTATTTGTTTTCCGAACATCGTCTAGTAGTACAGGTCCATTCACCTAGTGGAATCCCTAATCAACGTTTCGTCTCCTTGCTTTCTCACTAGACGCGCTCATCTGTTTACGATTCATTCACGACTACTAAGAGCCCCGTCATTACCTGTCCCACGCTATTCTCATTTCAGTCGTCATAATTCCCAGTCAAATCAGCTACCTACATAAGATACAATCCGCTTATCCACTCGAATTTTGCTTGCACTTCTGACTTAGTTCTTTGTTTACCTCTCGCCACCATAAGGTGATCCAACGACGCGCACAGTTGCATGGATCTCGAGACCTACCTCCGTCAGGTGGCCCAGCTCAACGGCCCCGACGTGACCCTTGACATCAGCGACGTGTCACTGTTTCGAGATAACCCCAACCACGATGCCATCTTTTTAGTCCGTCATGACAACCGGGTGGTGGTGACCACAGCGCCTGCCAACAATACCTTCAGCGACGAGTGGTGCCTGGCTCACCTGGTGACGGCGGTTATCAAAGGCTTGGGCCCAATTACTACTCCTGAACGTCAATTACGAGTCGTGGTGGTCCCTCTGGGCAAAGATATGGACGCGTTGTCCCTGATGATTCGCATGGGGCTCGCTCCCATGTTTGACGCTTGGAATGGTGACTCAGTATTGGGGAATGCCACGAAGAAAAAGTTTGGCGAATTATCTTTGCTGCTTCAACACTTGAACCTGGGTATCATTGTGCCTGATCTCAAATCTGCTTCCCTCAAATTGAGCACTGAAGAAAAACCTCAAGATCCTGTCAATGATACCGAATACCTTAACAAGTTAACGCTGGTGGCAAACCAGTGGATTTCTGATATTCGTGAGGTAACTAAGTTGGATCATAATCCACGTGATGGGCAGAGTCTAGCTGACGATGTGGCGTTCTGGAAGGCTATGGACCAAGCATTAGCTCTGATCAACCACCAAAAATCCCAGCCTTATGTTACCGAAGCAATTGAGGTGCTTACTCAAGCCAAACGTTTTCAAATTACAACTGCATTTAAAAGTGAAACCGGCTTGATCACACAACAACAACGCACAGACCAGATCAATAGTGTGCTTAAAGATATACCCTTGGCCGAAATGCAAGCAGTAACTCCTGATGACGGCATTGATCTGTTGGAGCTGGCAATACTGCTAGTATTTACTCATATCAGTCACCGCTTGTCGCTGCTGGAAGTGGCGCTTGATCGCATGCAAGCGTGGATCGAGCTCTTGATCAGTGACGTTGTTAAAAGCATCAATCAGTTCATTATCGCCTTGAAGGTTTTGGAGATGTCACCCGATACTTGGCGTACTACTCAAACAGCTGTCAAAAATCTACAGCAAGCTGTCGACCAAAACCTCAAATACGCCATTAACGAAGTTCGTGGAATTGTTCGCAGGCGCTCTGATAAGTTTGTTCAAATATCTATTGATACCCAGGCTTGGGACCAGTTTAACGAATCTTTCCAGGAAATCTGCGAACTCAGAGCCAGTCACGATGAGCTCCTGGCGACTCTCATCGCTCTTGATGCACCTCTTGAGTACCAAACAAAGTTGTCTGAAGCTTATAACAGCTACATGGTGTTGATAACGCCGTTCACAACGCAATGGAAGATGAACCTTAGTCTCTATTATCAGCAGGCAAAGCAGGTTCGTCAAGGAATTGTTACTCAGCTCAGCTTGGTGTTGAATCAGTGCCGCGAGTTTTCCGATTACGTGCTGGTGGTTTCTCGATTGGGAGGAGTCCACCATATCATTCCCGATGAGTACCGCACGAGGTTGTTGGACCAAGCTGCCCTGGAGGTGGGCGCTTTGAACTCGTTGCAAGTATACCGTGATGATAAAGTGGTTCCCAGAGCGAAGAATATACTTTGCGTTCGCAGTCAGGTTGAGTACTATTCTGAGGGTCTTACTGCCATTCTCGGGTCCACTTGGGGTCAGTACCTGGTGGGAGGTAAAATTCGACAATTACTCAATGAGATCGACGACAGACTTGCTGCAGAGGGAGAAGAGATTCAACGATGGATTAAGCAGGTGGAAGAGAAGCTAGCCCGTCCCTGGAAAGGGCCACTAATCAGGTTGGTTATGACACGAACCACCGACTTGGTGGTCAACTGCGACCATTCCCTAGTTGAGTCGTGCGTGCTGCTCCATCAACTTCACCGCCTTGGATTTGATATTTCTAAGCTGACCACGATTTCGGCAACAAGGGTATTGCTGACGTTCGGAAACTTAGCTATTGGGTTGTCGCAACATTTGGTTGCGTTCAAGCTTTACGCTGCCAAGAAGTCATATTCTGTGGTGGAACCCATTAAACGAGAGATCATCGCCAAGCTTAAGAAGTGTCAGGACCTTCAATGGGATAATATCGACGATGAGCTCGTTGCTTCGCTCGAGCTGCAAATTGCTGATTACTGTGGTCAGGTTTCCAAACTTGATATGATAGACAATGCCGTGGACAATGAAATTGCTCGCCTCCAACAATGTCCATTCGATGACGAAAGTATTAGTTCTATTAAGAATTCTGTTTACAAGCTTGACATCGAACGAATAAAGCCTTTTGTGGACCAACGCGTACAATCAACGCTTACGGCCAAAGGTCAGTTCCAACTCAATTCTATATCTGCCTGGCTTGGCAATTCCATGGATGCCACATTCCATGAGGATTCCGCAACTGAATACTGGGGTTTGCCTATCAAGCATGATTCGATGGAGCTCAAAGTTCTTACTCGTGACCAGCAATTCGTGGTAGAGCCGCTGTTTGCTTTAGTCAGGCAACAACTCTACGGCTTCGTGAACCACATATTGAACCAAGCGCCACAAGCCAACGCGAGCCCTGTCCTCATGACGATTGACTCGATAGTTGCCGAAGCGGAAACCTACATTGACCGTTTGAACTCACTCCAGTTACTTTGGGAGCTTGATCTTAGCAGAGAAACTGACTTGGCCCGTCTTTTTGGAGGCTGCCAAGGGGTATCGCTACAACTGTGGATGAAAGTTATGGATGAAATGATGTCTTTGAGATCAATAATTGATGGCGACTCAAGCGTGTGGTTTGGCGAGCAAGCAATTCGTCTCGACTATGGTGCCGTGGTGCTGCGGGTGAACTTGAAGTTTGATCGCTTTTTCCGTGACTTCCTTGAACGGTTCGCTGCGAAAGTGCAGGAGAATCTGACAAAATTCCTTAATGAGATCAAAGATGCGAAACGAAATCTTGGTCCCCGATTGAATCTCCACCAGGATGTTGTTCTAGTGATGGCAGCACTCCACCAATTTGTCACTGTTGATGCCGAAATCTCACGGTGGTCACAACAACTTGCTATATTGAAAAAGGCTCAATCGATTCTCGTGAAAAACCGGTTTCAGTTCCCTGAAATATGGAGCTATTGCGAGCAGTTGGAAGGTAAGTTTACTGAAGTCACCGACTTGATTTCCAAGAAACGGCTGGCTATTGATGCTGATCGTGATGGCCTTATTGTCAAGGTTACAGGTGAACTGGAGCGAGTGGCGGCGTCGCTTCAGTCGCTTCATCGCAAGTGGAGTCTGAAGAAGCCTGTTCTGGGTCAGTTAGATCCCGGAGCTGCTTTAGCCACATTAGCCACATTCCGACAACTTTGTGCCAATTTATCTATGAGTATAACCCACTTGCTGGTGGTAGCTCAATTAATGCTGGTTTCCGTGCCTCAGCTTCTGGTTGATGCCATTCGTGCCGAGATCGACGGCCATCATCTGGTGTGGGTGCTGCTTGATGCTTTGTGGACTCAGCTTAATGGCATTAAGACGACTCCCTGGGGTGATGTTAATCCTCGTACGGTGCGAAAACAGTTGGACGACTTGTCGCGGGAATTACGTTCATTGCCCACTAATACTAAACAGTATGCCGCCTATGATGAGCTTACATTGACTTTTTCGCTGCTCCTTAAATATAGTGGGTTGATACTGGACTTGAAGGGAGATGCCCTTAAGACTCGTCACTGGAAACAATTGCTTCCAAAAGTGAATGTGGAGGATCTCACTTTAGGACATGTGTGGGATTTGCTCATTGCTCCTAATAATGAAGCTATGATAAACGAGGTGTTGATAATGGCTCAAAATGAACACGTTATCGAGGCTCAGTTGGCTAAGATCCAGTTGTCGTGGGTTAATACAACTTTTGAGCTCGTACCTTTTGGCAAATACCGCCTTATCGCGAATTGGGATGCTCTTTTTGACCAATGCACCCGCGACATCAGTGCTTTGGCTCTGATGAGACTGCTGTCTTACTTTGCCAGTTTTGAACGGGAAATCACTCAATTAGAGACGAAACTTAGTGAAATCTATGGCGTTCTTGATTTGTGGATAGACGTGCAACAACAATGGGTATACCTCCTGGGCGTTTTTAGTGGTGGGGGCGAAATTGCGCAACTTTTACCAGTGGAACTGGCGCGGTTTTCCAATATCCTTACTGAGTATACGCTGCTCACTAAGCGTCTTTTCAAAGTGGGGCTAGTATGGGATATTACCCTGGCTGGGGATTTGACGCCGGTGATGAAGCGATTTTTAGACCAATTGAACCGGATTCGCCGCTCGCTTATCACTTACCTAGAGCAACAGAGACAGCATTTCCCTCGATTCTATTTTGTGGGTAATGATGATTTGCTAGCGATGATTGGGGATCTGCTGGTGGCTGCTGTCAATCGTCACGTATCACAAATGTTTGGCGGTATCCGTCAGTTAACTATGGAGGATCTGCGAGTAGTTGGGTGGATTGGCGATTGGGGCGAGACTGTTATGTTGAAAGAACCGGTACTGTTGGTGCACCACCCGCGATTGGATGAATGGTTGACAGCCGTGGAACGTGGCGTTAAACTCACGATAAGTGACTGTATTTCTTATCACTTAGGTAAGGATCCGGTCGAATTGGCACTTAGTTCTGACGTTCCCACTCAGGTGATTGTGGTTGTAACTCAAATCGGCTTTACTAAGGCTACTGAAGACGCACTTAAATCCGACATGGTGGCTGAGTTGAAGGCGACGGTAATCCAACAGATTTTGAAACTCACTCAGGCAGTTAACGTCGAAAATCTGTCTCTCAGACTCCACCGCATTGAACATGTTCTCATTGAATTGTTGCACCAACGAGCTATCCTTGACACGTTTCTGCAATCTGGCAAAGATTGGTGGTGGAATGGATGCCAAAGATTTTACCATATTGAATCAAATGAGCCTTTGGAAAGAGTTTTGATTTGTCAAGCAACCCTGAAACTAACTTATGGTTTCGAATACATTGGCGTCCCCGAGAAGCTTGCGTATACTCCACTCGTCGACCGATGCTTTCTTGCGATGTCGCAAGCTTTAAGTCAAGGGCTTGGTGGCTCTCCGTTTGGTCCTGCTGGTACGGGTAAAACCGAAACTGTCAAAGCACTTGCGCATAACTGTGGCCGAATGGTACTTGTGTTTAATTGTGACGAGCTGTTTGACATGCAACTGATGAGCCGTATTTTTCTTGGGCTCTGTCGAATTGGTATTTGGGGGTGTTTCGATGAATTCAACCGATTAGACGAACGTATGTTGCTGGCGGTGCTGAGTCAAATTGAAGCCATCGAACACGGGCTTAGGGGTGACGCCTCTGAAGTTGAAATTAGTGGGGTGAACGTGGAAGTCAGTCGAAGCACGGGTATCTTCGTGACGATGAACCCCCGTTACGCTGGCAGAAGCCAACTTCCTGAAAACTTAAAGAAGCTCTTCTGGCTGTTTTCGATGGATCTGCCTGATCATGAAGTCATTGTTGAGGTGTTGTTGAGTTCTCAAGGATTTGGTCAGGCCCATACTTTGGCTAAGTTAATAGTGCCGCTCTTTTTAGAACTTCAGAACCAGGCACTGCAACAAGCCCATTATGATTTTGGTCTTCGTGCTTTGAAAAGTACGCTTACACGTTGTGGGCAAATCAAACGATCTACTTCTGGTGATTCTGAAAAGGAGGATGATATTGTGGTCAGAGCCATTGAGGAGACTGTGACTCCGAGACTTGTGAAAGTTGACCGGGCTCTCTTAAGCTCACTACTCAACCAATACTTCCCTGATACCGATCCTAATTGGGATCAAGACCGTGAATTTTTGTCTCAACTACACTCTGTGGCCGCTGAAAACCACCTCACTGTCGATAAATTATGGGCGGAAAAAGCCACTCAGCTTTTTCACATCGAATCCCTGCACGCTGGTATCATTTTGGTTGGGGAACTGGGATCTGGGAAACTGACGGTCTGGCGACTGGTGCTCAAAGCGGTGGACGCTTCCGCCTCACTGTACATCATCGACGCTAAAGTAATGCTGAAGGACCAGTTATACGGACGCATTGATCCCGTGACAAGAGACTGGAGCGATGGGCTTTTAACTAAGCTCATACGTAAAATTGGCGCCAACTTACGTGGTGAGCGTTCCCATCGCCACTGGATCATCTTTGACGGCGATATCGACCCGATATGGGCTGAGAACTTGAACCTGGTGCTTGATGATAACCGCATTTTGACGCTTGCTAATGGTGAACGACTCCTGCTTCCACCCGAAGTTCGTCTTGTGTTCGAAGTTGACTCCTTACGTTATGCCACTCCCGCTACAATCAGTCGATGCGGTATGATCTGGTTCGATGAAGGTGTAGTTTCGGTGAAGTCACGCTGGAACAATCTTCTTGGTTTGTTGTCTACCCGTCCCATTGATGAGGATCAAGGTATCGGTCGCCAAATGGAAGCCGTAACTATATTACTGGAGATAATCTCGGACACCATTTGGGAGTCAGTGGTGAATATCACTGCGGAAGCCTTGCACATTATGCCCTTCAGTGTGGCTCGTGCGTTCTCTGGGTTTCAAGCATTGCTTCAAGCGTATATCTCTAAGCTTGTTGTATTTGAAGCGGAGCACGGAGCCATAGTCGATGTCAAGCAATATATGGCTAAAGCAGTGGGCTTACTGTTGCTGTGGTCGTTCGCTGGCGATATCAATGGAGATAGGGATGCTCTTGGCAAGCGCTTGACCAATTTGATTGCTGATGTTGATCTTGAGTCGTCGCCGTTTGTCGTCGATGTCAACCTTCCCGAAGCTGAGTGGGCTCCTTGGACGACGAACGCTTCTCAAAATTCCATTGCTGATATAGAACCGTACCAAATCAACTCATCGATGGTGATCCCTACCGCCGAAACCGCCTGCCACCAGCAACTCATCCATACTTTGCTCCACCAACATTGTCCCCTTGTGCTTTGTGGGCCTCCGGGGCTGGGTAAGACAATGACGTTGTTGGCTGCGCTTCGCGCACTGCCTCAGTTTGAAGTGGTGGCTCTCAACTTTTCCAAGGATACGCTGGTTGCGCTGATTTTGCGTTCATTAGAACAACACTGTGTTGTTCGTCGACGGGCGCTGGGGCTTGAGCTTGCTCCGAAGGTGTCTGGTACATGGGTAGTGGTCTTCTGTGATGAAATCAACTTACCCCAACCTGACCAGTATGGTACCCAGCATGTGATTTCGTTCTTAAGACAAATGGTAGAACAACGAGGGTTTTGGAACCGCGACGACCAGTGGGTTTCTCTTGGGGATATTCAATTTGTGGGTGCGTGCAATCCACCTACTGATCCTGGCCGTCAACCTCTCAGTTTACGAATGTTACGTCACGTTGCGCTTGTTGTGGTTGACTATCCTCGTCCTGAATCGATGGCACATATTTATGGCAGTTTTGTTGCCGCCTTACTTAAATGTGCTCCCACTTTGAAGAGTTATGGTGTTGCCCTCACTAACGCCATGATCGACATTTACCAGAGAACAAAGGACTTTATGACTGGTAAAATGCTGCACTACGTGTATTCGCCGCGTGAACTCACCAGATGGTGTCAGGGGATGTTTGAAGTGATCACTCACCTGGAGGTGTCCACCGTGTCGCAATTGGTGAGATTATGGTACCACGAGGGTGTGAGGCTTTTTAGTGATCGTCTTGTTGACCCTGCAGACATCAAGTGGCAGCACCAAACGTTTGTCAACGTGGTGTCTCAGTACTTTCCAATGATTGATGTCAACGAGGTGTGTAAAGATCCTGTACTTTACCTGGACTGGCTTAGCCTCAACTATGAGCCAGTTCAAGAGTCTGAATTACGCTCGTTTCTTACCGAAAGACTCCGTGTGTTTGCTGAAGAAGAAGTTGATGTTGATCTTGTGCTTCATGAAGATGTCTTAGACCACTGCTTGCGTCTTGATCGAGTGCTTCGTCAGCCTCAGGGTCATATGATTTTAGTGGGTGACTGCGCTAGTGGTAAAACGACTCTCACACGATTTGTTGCTTGGATCAATGGTCTTAAACTGATTCAACTTCAAGTTGATCGCGATTTCGGCGTTGATCGCTTTGATCGCATGCTTCGTGAATTACTTCTTCGTTGTGCTCGCGGTGAGCGCGTGTGCTTCATCATTGACGAGCTGCTGATCTTGGACCCTGCATTTATTGAACGGATGAATACGTTGCTTGCCAATCTGGAAGTCCCTGGTCTTTTCATGGGTGAGGATATGACGTCACTTATGTCTATTTGTTTGGAACAGTCACAGGCTCAAGGGCTTTTGCTTGACTCCGAAGCCGAGTTGTACCAGTGGTTCTGTCAACAGATCACCCGCAATTTGCATGTGGTGTTCACAATCAGTCCCGAGCTGGCAGCATCTGTGATTTCTCTGCCTGCCCTCTTCAACCGGTGTGTGCTTAACTGGATGGGGCTGTGGAGTGATGAGCTGTACGACGATGTGGCTCAAACTACAATCCTGGCTCTGCCTATTGACATTAAGGCAGCTTCAATTGCTGTGGCTATCCACGCTCAATATGGCGCAGCTCCCGCTCAGTTTATGGCATTTTTGTCTACAATCCTCCAAGTGTATCGCCGCACTATGCTGGGGCTTGAAGATCACCATCGTCATGTCACTCAGGGTTTGGACCAACTTCGTGAGACAGTGATCAAAGTTCAAACTCTTCAAAGCCAGTTAGCGACGCAGCGAACGCAATTGGAGGAGAAAAACGCCCAAAAGGATGCCGCGCTTGAAAAGTTGTTCAAAGAGCAAACTGAAATTGAACGTAAGCGGGAGTTCGCTATTACAGCAAGTGAAGAACTTGAAAAGCACAAGGCAGAACTCGAAGCTCGTCGTCTCGAAGTGATGTTTGAATTGCAGAAGGTGGAACCTGAAGTGGAAGCGGCTAGAAAAGGCGTCAGTGATATCAAGATGGACCAGATCAACGAAATTCGGCGGTTAAATCGGCCTCCTGACGCTGTGAAGATGACTATCGAGCTGGTGTGTGTGCTCTTGGGGTATGACGATGTTTCCCTGTGGCCTCAGGTGTTGGGGTTTATCCGTAAAAATGATTTCATTGCTCTGATTGTTAATTTCGATGTTAGTTTATTGGAAGACAATCGGCGGACATTTTTGGAAGAGAACTATCTCTCTCGCCCCGACTATACATTTGAGGCAGCCCAACGAGCCCTGAAAGCCTGTGGCCCTTTGTTAAGATGGGTGTTGGCTCAATTTAGCTACGCCCTGATCATATCCAGCGTGGCTCCATTGGAAAAGGAAATGACTTTACTTGAGAATAAGAATAGGGAAACGAGTGCACAATTGGAGGCCATTGAGGAAATAATCCAGGAGCTCCAGGTGAAATGTAATCTCTACGAGAGAGATTACCTGGAGGTGATCAGAGAAACAGAACTGATCAAAACGCAGATGAAGGAAGTGAGCAAAAAAGTGGAACGACTGCAAAAACTTTTGTTACTGCTCCGAAGTGAAAAGGATCGGTGGAAGATCAATACTACCCAATTTGCGTCACGCAGAGAGCAGGTCATTGGGGATGCAATCCTTGCAGCGCTGTTTTCTGTTTACGGTACTGCCTTGGACCAACGCGGGCGCTATGAATTTGAAACCCTAGTCAAGCAAATGTTGTCTCAGTATGCCCTCCCTCATTCTCAGGGCTACACTTTCCGCACGTTGATGCCCAAAGTCACCTTACCTTCGGGAGTCGTCAATGATACGGTAACGATTGACAATTGGGTCAGTATTCTCACAAATGAGCGCCCACTAGTAGTAGTGGATCCCACGGGGCTGGTATTACACAACCTTACTACAGGTTATTCCACCAATACTGCAGTGGTCCTGGCATTGGCGCCTGACATGGTATCTCGTCTTGAAAATGCTCTCCGCTATGGCGGTAGGCTTGTCATCACCGACATCGAGTTTTATGACCCTATTCTCAACCCTGTGTTCAGGGGAGAAGTGTATCGTCTGGGCGGAAAAACGATGATAATGCTTGGCGACGCCTATGTTGATTACTCGCCACTGTTTCGCCTTGTGGTTCATACCAAGGACTCTCTGATCCCACTACCACAATTCGTTAAGTCACGGGCAACTATCATCAACTTTACACTTACCCCTGCCTCTTTGGAGAATAAGTTGGTGGATATGATCGTCGAACATGTTCGACCCGACGTGGCTGAACGACGTCAACAATGTGTGGCTCAGAGAGGAGAGATCATTGATCGTCTTTTGCAATTAGAACAAAACCTTTTGGAGCTTGTTAGTGGATCCGAGGGCTCGCTTTTGGATAACGATGAAGTGGTACTGGAACTTGAGAAACTTAAGACAGAAATGTCAGCGTTAGATGCTAGATTAAGCGATGCAGGTCAAGTGATGACGGAGCTCGATGGTGTACGTCTTACCTACGAGCAAGTTGCTCACCATCTGCGAGCAGTGTATGATGTTTGCCAAATGATGGCAGCGAAACTGGATTTCTACGAAGTGGATTTAGACGCATTTATCCACATTTTTCAAAGAGTATTGCTGGGTGGAGAAATGGATTCGTTTGTGGAAAGGTTATACCAAGAAGTATATGCCGTGGCGTCTCCAGCTATGGTATACGCCGACAAAGTGGCGTTTGCGACTGGGCTTACGATGCTGAAATTAGGGGAAGAATCAGATGAGACCAAGCAAGTAAAAACTATTCTCGAAGGGCTTGCCAATGGAAAATCGCCGATGAATTCTCTTGATGCTTTCAATAAGCCATTATGGCTGGCAGATGGCCCGTACTCGTCGACATATGACTTGGATAAAAGTTTGGCAATGTATTCAGTTGTACTCATTGCCTCTCCCGGGGGGGTTGATGCAACCACTCGTATCGAGGCTCTTGCAGAGGCTGAAAGGGCGAAACTTACGGTCATATCTATGGGTTCGAAGGAAGGTGTTGAAGCCGCCAACTTGGCGATGTCGGCTGCTGAGCCAGGATGGGTGCTCTTACAAAATATTCAAATGGCTCCTAACTGGCTTAGTACCTTAGATAAACAATTATCAGGGTTGCCGAATAATCGGAAGGTTATTATGACATGCTCTCTTTCGCTGAAGATTCCTCGAGGTGTAATTGTTCATTCGCAAGTGATACTGTATGAGGCGCCGCCAAGTTTACGCCACTCGATCCGAGAAACCTACAAGCTTCTTTCCACTACGACTAAGGTCAAACATGCTGAATTTTTGTTGGTATTGTTCCATGCAATAATTTGTGAAAGAATGAAATTTGTCCCTAACTCCTTCAACCAGACCTATGATATAAACGATGCTGACTTTGCACTGGCGTTAGCCATCATTCAAGGTTTAAATGGTAAACCATGGGATGAAATTGCGTATATGGTGGGGGTGATCAGTTATGGTTCTAAGATTGACAACGTTGCTGACTTTGACTACGTTGTTACATTGGCTAAACGGCTCTTCCTGAACCAATCTACGCAACCAAGCTTCAATGTCCTTTCGGGAAGTCTAAGTGATGATATGTTAGCACTTCCTCAAGATGACGATTATGATAATTGGATCAGACTGATTCCTGCAGTGACCCCAATGACTTGGATTGATTTGGAGGAAAAGGTATTAGACCATGTACAAGCTCGAGATGGTAAGCAAATCGCAGAGTTATTGTTCTCCTAATAAGTTGAGTATAGTCTTTCATATCTTGAGATAATGTATACGATTGAACTGATTTTGTAGCCAAATACCGACGAAAATCATCGTCACAAAGGCCAAAGATCATCTGGTTGAGTGCTCATTCGATCCTCCAAAGTAGAGAGCTATCACAAGCATCAACATTTATCTCCACTGGGATCGGCTCAGCTACAACCAATGGTCGCATAAAATTGTGGTCACCATATTATTCAAACAATTCGAAATGAACTTTCGGTGGAGGTTTTCGTATCAATATCCCATAGGCTCAAGGATTCGCCACAGCTTATCAATGTTGTGTTATCTCTAGTGCGGATGTGCGCGCGGGTCACAAGCATTGTTCGCGGTGTGCACGCTATGGAGGTTGTGACCAAGGTCGAGGAGGTAATCCTCCACCGGCGTGGCTTCAGCGTGAATGGCGTTTTGCTACTCAGCCAATACCACCTCGTGTTCCAGTTTCACCTGACCGGACTCGACGGTCAGCAAGTCCCCCGTGAGATATGGATAGCTTATCCCGTGATCGACAGGATCTCCAAGCTGAGAGGCAGTGCATGGCTCCTGAACCAGTCGCAGGCTCTGGGATCCCTGGGTAGTGTCAGCTCACGCAACTCGCTGCCTCCCTTGTTACCTGAGGGATGGGATCACTACACTTCCTCCCACATCCGCGTCCATTGCAAGGATTTCACCTACTACCTGTTTGACTTCAAAAACGATGCCATCGGTGCCGAGGTGTTTCAAAAAATGAGTGAATTGACACTAAAGCCTAAGCGAGCGGGAATCGAAAATGTCTACGCATTCAGCTACAAACCTAATGTCCTTGAGCAAGACCTAAAACAGAAAGGGTGGCAGCTTTACGACTGTGAAGCGGAATACAAACGCATGGGTCTTACCGACCATTCCTGGAGAGTGTGCACGTTAAACAAGTCCTACCAGCTTTGTTCGCTGTATCCGCAAAAATTTGTTGTGCCGCTGCTGATTTCCGATAATGTGGTAAAGCATGCCAGCAAATTTCGCAGTAAACAACGGATACCGGCAGTGGTTTATCGCCACCGTGCCAATCCCAATCATAATGTAATTGCTCGCTGCGCTCAGCCGCTTGTGGGGATAAACATTCAAAATCGCAGCATACAAGATGAACAACTTGTGGGTGATATATTCCGCAGTCAAGAGCGTGACAAAAGTCGTCATAGCCAGCCAGATGAGCTTGAAGGTCAACAACCTCAAAGAAACTTGATTGTCGACCTCAGACCCCTCACAAATGCCATGGCTCAACACGCGTTGGGTGCAGGGACTGAAAACATCGACTTCTACCGTGGTAAACGAACTGACGCCCAATCAGATAATGACGATGGGCCCTGGGCTGGAACCCATTTGCTGGTGGACAAGATTTATGGCAATATCGATAACATCCACGTCATCCGTGATCTGTTATCACGCCTACAAAACGTGCTCAATGACATGGACCGGACCACCGTTGACCCCATGGTGGTTCAGCATCAATTGGTAAAAAGTCAATGGCTCCATCGAGTGCTGATTATCTTGCTGCTGGTGGATCGAATCATCAAGCTGATCCACTTAAACAATACCAACGTCATTATTCACTGTCTGGATGGATGGGATCGTACACTGCAGGTAAGTGCTCTTGCCCAAATGTGCTTAGATCCCTATTACAGAACGCTCGAAGGTTTCATGGTGCTCATTGAAAAGGAATGGGTGAGTTTCGGGTTCAAGTTCGCCACCCGTGCTGACCATGGTGGGTGTATTGGCGCTCTCAAGTCAACGGCAAAGCCTCCTGTCGACGATAGCACTGACAGTTTGAATGAAGACGGTCAGTTTGAAGGAGCCGCTAAAAAGGTGGCCCTGTTCTTTCAGAGGGCTGCCCAACAAGTGAAAAATGTTGCAAGTGATGCCGATGGTGACCACCTGCCGTTTGTGCAAACTTATTCAGGGCTGAATGAAAAGCTGCCAGTTTTCCATCAATTCCTTGACTGCGTGTTTCAGGTTTATCGTCAACACTCCGACCAATTCGAATTCAATCTGCGATTCTTGAAGCGTCTCTTATACCATTATTATGCATGTCAGTATGGGCTGTTTTTGCTGGATAATGAGCGCGAACTGTTACCTATTCGATCGCAAACTGTATCAGTTTGGGACTACTTCATCCTGAGACGGTCAGAGTTCACGAACAAAGATTACTCACCCAATGAGGAAAATTCAGTAGTGTTTTTCAGCTTCACTGATGTCAGATGGTGGTGTGAGCTTTACGGAAGATCAGAAGAAGACATGAACGGCATGGCAAATAAGTTGGAACAGCGATTTGCTCAACTTATGAGGGAACCCAATCTGGAAGCCGCATCCATTCAACAATCCGATAGTGAAACCAAACAACCGTCACCGGCATTAATCAAGGCGACTTCACCGACGATGTCTTGAGCACATCTTTATTTTCATGAGTAATGAATTATGTACTCATATCGCATTAACCTAATTTACGAACCACGATTACATGAAAGACCCACAATACTGACATTGATAAAATGATCATTGATCAATTCTTTCACTAGTGAATTGTTTGCAACAAATTCCGTAGTCTGACTTATGAAAGTCTTAAAGCTATAAGTCATCGGTGATACCTGTAAAACACTTTGAATATCATCTCCAACCCCAGCTTTTACCCGCAGAAACTCCGCTACTTAACGATGCAATGCACAATAGGCTCAGAAATACGCTATTGGAGTGGGTCTAGGCACAGCCTTGGCCTGGTAATCAGCCCAAGATGCGCACGCCAATTCTGATTAGCTCAGCAGTAGACAGGCACAAGTCACGTTGACGACAAATACCATGGCAAATACGTGTAACTTCCCGATACTTTAGGTCCCATGCCGCGCAGTACAGGTCTTTTGCAGAGTCAGCACCTCCAGCTTGATTTCGCCAGTCGAATTCAGTCTCTCAGTGCACCACTTCCTCCCCCGATAAGCTTCAAGAAGTCGGGGAACTGAGTGAGTCTTGTATCAGCCTCCATAAGCTTCGAAGACTGCAGTGAGTATTATAAGCGTGTCTTTTTACCATCCGGTCACTGATAAGCTTCAAAGACGTTGGAAGGATACTGTATTGTGTGTCGGCGGCCAGTATACCCAGCGTCGGTTTCTCGCTCTCTACCGCTACAGTCCCACCGAGTGGGTGTGATGGCCGTTGTCGTTCACTCATTTTCACAGACATCCCGACTAACGACGAACTTCACCTTGAAGTCGGGCACTTTATTCAATCAATGTATGGTTAGATTTTCTGACATCAAGAATTCCGAGCGTAGGCTAGTTATTTCAGATCTCTGACCAATACAGACTTGCCGATGACATCAAAAAGAATGCGGCTGAGACTTCAAGACTGGGGGCGCCGCAGATACGGGGCATATCAGAGAGACATCAATTGGCAAGCGTTATTCGTGGATTACATGGCAAAAGTTCCGAGGTTCCCAATTGTTAAATGATTGAGCGCCTTTGTTTGTAATATTTCCAAGGATAGCTCAGAGCTATCCACCGTTGATATCTGGTTAGGAATAACCCAGGTAGCTCACATATCGACTTCTCATCGATAGTGACTGATCAAAAATTTGTGGATACTTCCGCATTGTATGCATCAGTAACGGTCGTGATGAAATGACTTGAGGCCTGAGGAATTTCCCTTTCGCCTCCCAAATACGGCCACGAGATCTACTAATTTGTGTGCAGGACAAATAAGAAAGCAACACGATTTCAACTTTGACGAAAGATTGAATGTCAATGGATCAGTAGATGGTCCGTTCAATCCAAAATGCTTCATTTCAACATTATATCTGTATCTACTGTGTATAAAAGTGTAAGGTATACGTGGTACACAATTTGTAAGATTACGTGTCCATGTATACTAGTTGGAGTCAAGTCCCAATGATTATTCCTAAACACTATTCATTGAAGAGTTAGTGTCTCCATCGGAACTATGGTTCAAAAAAGATGTGCGCAAACCCGGAATCGAACCGGGGGCCCAACGATGGCAACGTTGGATTTTACCACTAAACCATTTGCGCTAGTTGAAATTATGTGGCGTAACAGTGGAATGATTACTGGAACACCATTTTGAATTGAATTTCCCTGGCAACTGGCCATTCTCTGACAGTTTTACGACGAATATACTGCAAACTGGATGTGGCGCACATATACCCAGGTCCACGAGTCCCAATATGAGTCCTTTTACTACCCTGGGTGCACACTTTGTTCGGTTATTACCCATGACAGGGCCCCCATCCTCCCACCTGTATACTCTACGGACCACGATCGCCAATTCCACAGAGCCGCCGTCATATTGATTCGCGACAACGGCGGAGGGGAACCACTTCTTCTCTGCGACTGTCCCATGTCAAAGCGCATCTACCGCCTCATTAATCGAACTGACATCCCCTACCAACATGTGACAGAGATTATGCCCCCCAACCGTCTTTCTTTGGACGCCTTGAGTGAGTTAGCTCGTTATATACGTGCGACACTCCTCTTCTTCAAGGAAACACGACTATCGGAGTCAGCTCCTGTCATCCAGACAGAAGCTAGCTTACAATAGTGGATCCAGCGCAACCGAAGATACATTATGACGGGTAAGGGACAACATAAATTCTGAACACAACCCCACCTTACTGAATGGAATGCTGAGATATCACTCGCCCCGCGGGCGACTTATGGCTCTCTACTTCGACTCTTCGACCAGAGGGAGTATATCATCTAAACAAGTGACGACGCCTATAACTATAGTATAGTTGGCTAGTACACTTTGACAGGAGAGACCGTGGTTCAATTCCCCGTGGTTTGGGCTGTCGGTCACCTGTCTACTGAACAACTGCCTCCCCGCATTCTCTCCATATACTGAATTTTTCGCCGTTGTTGGCTTTCTCAGATCGCAGGGTATCGAGAACGAAGGCTTTACAAACACTTGGGAGCCTCTAAGGGGTATGTAAGTGATGAGAATCGGCATTTCCAGGATCCTCAGAATAACCCGAGAGGTTATCGAATTGGTTCTCTGACTTGCGGTCAGAGGACTTGGGAGTCATGCTGTAGGTGTAATACAGTTGATAGGGGTTGGTAAGCTAGCGCTTGGGGGAAATAAGTGTGTAATGAAAGATATAAACAAAGATAGATAGATACGTGTCAAAAACTTTTCCATCTGTTTCCATGATAATGGACAGAGGGCACAACATGCAGTCCAAGTAACAAAACTCCGAAACTTGCAGTCGTGAGACCGAAATGGTGATTTGGCTGCGACAAATCACGTGACGAAATAATGATGCCACAACAGTAAGTTTTTAAGTTAGATATCAATGCAAAACTAAAGATAAATTCTTCAAAGCGGCTAAAAAAGCGGCTGTAGGCTTTCTCAGACCGCATAGTATTGATGGCTTCACAAACACTTGAGATTCGTTGACGCATAAATAACTTTTGAATGAAACTTCAATTTACAATTAGAGGTAAAAAAAAGGCGAGATCTTCATTCCCCGTCCCACCCATATCCTGCATCTCCACACCGACTCTGCATATAATGAATGGTGCATACCGGGAGGTAATGTACCTGGTTCATTGCAACATTACCATAGGCAAGAACCTGTTGTAAAGTAGAGCGCATCTCCGGGAGAACCGATACAGCACTATCTTTCAAATTCGGGTAGTCCATTACATGTAGTGGGCGCTGAAACCGATTTGCAATATTTGGAGCTGAGATATCAGAGGTGTAACACCTCGTCTACTCAGGGTACCTGTATGCAGGTACACCTGCGACACTATGCTAGACATCTGTGACTGAGAGTGGCCGCATCATAACTGACACGACAATTGCCATTCTTAAGCGTGCCTACTTGGTCTGATAACTTTGCCGGAAGCTAATACGGTTCCTGACACACTTACCGTATTTGCAAGAATGAGTCGTGCACATAAGATGTGCACCTGCATGTAACGTGAGAGCTTCAACTGAGTTGATTTATTACGAATATCAGACTCTAAACAGATATGAATACCGTCACTGTGTTTCATGCGGTTCAAATATAACTTACAACAGTGAATGGGATTTTTCCGAATTTTACCATGAAAAATCTACAAAGTCGAACATAAAATCAGGAAAATTCTCTAACATCAATCTCTCTACCCTATAAAATTCATTGGCATTGAAAGTACATTTGAGGAAATTTTGTACAGGTTGACTTGAAAAATGGTGTATCTACGTGAGATTTTGTAAGATTTTAAGGGTAAAAAAAACTTTTTTTTTTT